GTCGGAGAGGTAGGACTGGAGCCACCTGAGTGCAGTACCTTCGATACCGATATCCTGGAGTCGGGTGAGCAGGATGTTGTGGCTCACGGTTTCGAAGGCTACACTCAGGTCGAGGAGGATGAGGATGTTAAGGGAACCGGTGTCAGCAGAGGTGAGGAGGTCATTGAGGACTTTGATGAGTGCCGTTTCTGTGCTGGGGACGAAAACCAGACTGAAGGGGTTCAAAAAGGTGATTTGTTTGGAGATGGCGGTGGAGTTGTTTGGAGATGATGCGTTCTATTGTTTTTGAGAGAAAGGGGAGGTTGGAGATGGGGCGGTAATTACTGAGGGAGGAGGGATCCAGACCGGGTTTCTTGAGGATGGGAGTGACAGCAGCAGTTTTGAAGGCAGAGGGAACGGTTCCTTGGGACAGGGAGGAGTTGAAAAGGTTGACAAGGTAAGGGCAGAGGACAGGGAGGCAGGACTTCAGTAGAGGGGTGGGTAAGGGGTCAAGCGAGCAGGTTGTGGGGAGGAGGGCTCGGGAGGTCCAGGGAGATGGAGGGAGAAATTGTGGCGGTGGGTGTTGGGGGAGATGTTTGTGTGTGAGATGATGTGAGATAGGGAGAGATTAATGGCAGTGATTTTGTCAGAGAAAAACTGGAGGAATGAACTGCATAAGGTGGAAGTGGATGAAGAGAGGGTGTCAGCACGGGGTTTGAGGAGCTTGTTGACGGTGGAGAAGAGGGTCCTGGGGTTACGGGAGGGGTCGGTAAAGATGGTGGAGAGGTAAGCAGATTTTGCGGCAGTGAGGGCGTCTCTGTAGGTAGTAAGATGGAGTTTGTATGATTCATGGTGAACTGTGAGGGATGATTTCATGGTTAGGCGTTCAAGCTGGCGGCCGGTTTGCTTCAATTTACGGAGTGCAGGGGTGAACCAGGGTGAGGAGGTTTTGAAAGTGACGTTTTTCCTTTTGAGGGGGGCCAGGCTGTTGAGGGAGGCGAGTAGGGTGGAATTAAGTTGTTCATCGGGTGAGCTGAGGTTCGAGTCCAGGGGGAGAGTAGAGGATAGCAGGTCGGAGAGGTGCTGGGGATCGACAGAGCGTAAATTACGGAAGATGATGTTCCTGGGTGGGGGGGGGGGTGGCGGACGGGGGAGGCGATGGTGAACTGTATGAGTTTGTGGTCAGAGAGGGGAAAGGGGCAGGGGTGGAGGTCGAGTACTGGGAGGTTGGTGGAGCAGACAAGGTCAAGGATGTGTCCTTTATCATGGGTGGGGAAGGTGACATGTTGGGTAAATGAGAAATTGTCCAGAAGGGAGGAGAATTCAGAAGCGAGTTTGCAGGTGGGGGAGTCCATGTGGATGTTGAGGTCGTCGAGGAGTAACATACGTGGGGAGAGGGATGAAGCAATGGTGAGGAGTTCAGTGAGATCAGAGAGGAAGGAGGGGTGTGGTTTGGGGGGGCGGTAAATGAGGATAACTGTCAGTGAGGGAGTGGTTTTGAAGGCGAGGAATTCGAAGGATGATACTGAGGGGAGGGTGAGTTCTGTAGTCCGGATGTTCTGGTTGTAAATGACAGCCAGCCCACCACCACGGCGTGAGGGGCGGGGTTTAGTGATGTAATTAAAACCAGGGGGGGATGTTTGATTGAGGGAGAAGAAGTCATTGGGTTGTTGCCAGGTTTCAGTGAGCAGAAGGAAGTCGATGGATTTGTCCAGAATTATTTCGTGGAGGATGTGGGCTTTATTGTTGGGTGACCGGATATTGAGGAGGGCAAGATTAGTCAAGTGGGGGGTTGGAGGGGTGGTGGCAGGCTGGATAGGTATGAGGTGTGTGTGTGTGTGTGTGTGTGTGTGTGTGTGTGTGTGTGTGTGTGTGTGTGTGTGTGTGTGTGTGTGTGTGTGTGTGTGTGTGTGTGTAGGTCCCAGACTGACAGCCACTCAGTGTGTGAATGGGATGGCTGCAGGACTCTATGAGGAACTGTCCACCTGCATCGTCTCTCTGATCAACATGAGAGGACCAGTGCCCTCAATACTGTAAACACACCAGGGCAATTAGCAGTGTATAACATGCATACTGTACTGTGTGTGTGTGTGTGTGTTTTTAAAGAAGTGTTATTTCACAACAGTATTGTTTCAGTCTTTTCGAGAGTACTCTTTAAAGTAGAGACACACACACACACACGCTCTGTGTCTCAGGAAAACAAAAAGCTTTATCTTCTGTGTGTGTGTGTGTGTGTGTGTGTGTGTGTGTGTGTGTGTATGATGTCAGGGTGTTGACAGGTTTATTTATATGAATCTGAACATAAAGCACTTTCCTCCCACCGTGGCGCCTGTTTCCCTGGAGAGTGTTTAAAGAGGTATTGCATCAAACACTTAACCAAAAAACCCTAAAAATCAAGCCCCCGGACCCCCAGAGGAACTGAAGACCCCCCCTCACTTAACACATTTTCATATGGATAAGATACAAAAATGTTATATAGTGACCTGTATCCATAAGGCTCTATTTGGGTAGCAGATTGTTCGATTATAGAGACTTACATATATATTTGTATTATGTACAATTGTGGCAACGCCCCTTGTTTCTTTTATATCTGAATATGAGTCACAGAGATGTAGAAATGATATAAAACGTATACATCTCTTTCTGATCATCGTACATCATTTAATTAGAATTTAAGAACAGATCTCAGGTTAGTAGTTAATCGTCTCGTGTGCATCAGTAACAGCAGATTGAGTCAGTGCTGCCCCCTAGTGGCTGAGTCTTCACATTACAACGGCACTAAACCCACCCAAAATAATACATGATAAAAATGCTTTAAAATATTAAATAGGAATTGAAAAAAATAAGTGTTTGACAAAAACAACAAAATATTGAATAGCAAAGTACCTGCTATGGTTCTTACCTGTCTTGTCCTTTTGGTGGATTTTTTTATACATTTACAAATATGTTAATTAACAAGTGTTATTGTTTGTTTCCTATCTTTTTGGCTTCTGTAAAATAATAATTTTTTATAATTTGTTTTAATTATTATTCATGATTTTATAACTGTTATTATTTAATAGTGTGCACTCATTGTTGTTGTTGTTGCAGCACCAGAACAAAGTAACACTGTGAAGAGACAGAAGCAATACTTTATTAAAAAAATATACACAAAGGGAACCAGGAGGAGAACGTCTTCACTGCATGTCAACGGTCAGCAGTCCTTTCAATTGAGATTTGAGAGACGTAGCGAGTGTGTGTTCGGGTCAGACGTAGAGAGTGTGTGTTCGGGTCAGACGCAGAGAGTGTGTGTTCGGGTCAGACGCAGAGAGTGTGTGTTCGGGTCAGACGCAGAGAGTGTGTGTTCGGGTCAGACGTAGAGAGTGTGTGTTCAGTGAGACGTAGAGAGTGTGTGTTCGGGTCAGACGTAGAGAGTGTGTGTTCAGTGAGACGTAGAGAGTGTGTGTTCGGGTCAGACGTAGAGAGTGTGTGTTCAGTGAGACGTAGAGAGTGTGTGTTCGGGTCAGACGTAGAGAGTGTGTGTTCAGTGAGACGTAGAGAGTGTGTGTTCAGTGAGACGTAGAGAGTGTGTGTTCGGGTCAGACGTAGAGAGTGTGTGTTCAGTGAGACGTAGAGAGTGTGTGTTCAGATCAGACGTAGAGAGTGTGTGTTCTGATCAGACGTAGAGAGTGTGTGTTCAGATCAGATGTAGAGAGTGTGTGTTCGGGTCAGACGTAGAGAGTGTGTGTTCAGTGAGACGTAGAGAGTGTGTGTTCAGTGAGACGTAGAGAGTGTGTGTTCGGGTCAGACGTAGAGAGTGTGTGTTCAGTGAGACGTAGAGAGTGTGTGTTCGGGTCAGACGTAGAGAGTGTGTGTTCGGGTCAGACGTAGAGAGTGTGTGTTCGGGTCAGACGTAGAGAGTGTGTGTTCTGATCAGAACGTCACCACTTTGGTTTGTTTGGGTTTGCTTTTCTTCACGGGAACATGAACGTCCTCGTGGTCTGCGCTCATGTTGTTCGACAGCCAGGGAAGTGTCAGCGAGTTACCTGAGATAAAAACAAATATATATAAATAAAAGACATGGTGGAGGAAGACGTGTTCAAATCCGTTAAGACACTTTATTTAAATAGATATTTTCTACAGTTGATATGTATATATTTACAGTTACATGTGTAAGGCCTGAAATGTGTTGGTAATGGTTAATAATTGTCTGTACTTGACCACAGTCACCCTAACTTCATCTGATTCTTTGTAAGCGATCACAGTCAGAGACAGACGCAGAGACTCACTTGTGGCCTGGTGCTCCGGACAGTCCTTCTGAAAATGTTCCACTGAGCCACAAACCCGACAGCTCCCTCCTGCAGAAACACACACTCATTTAAACATCTTTGTAATATAATAAACTCATATATAATGTGATGAATGTTGTGTCTGTACCTTGTGCATAAAGTCCTTTCGGATTATCAGGACAGCCACGTGACAGGTGGCCCGTTTTCCCACAGATGAAGCACTTAGCGTACGGGTGCTCTCCTGGAGAATGAAGACATACATGTTGTTCACGAGGTGCAGGAATGAGTCTGTCTCACTTTGACCTTTTTCACATCATTATTTTTTTCCCACATATTTTGCATATTTTTTTTTCTTTTCTCTCATTATTTGAATTTTCCACTGTTTTTGACTTTTTCCCTCAGATTTTAAATTTGTTTTCTCAGATTTGAACTTTTTCCTTATAATTTAACCTTTTTCTCAGATTTAGATTTTTTTTTTCATAATTTGAATTCTCCACAGTTTTTGACTTTTTTCTCATAATTTGACTTTTTTCTCATAATTTGACTTTTTCCTCAGATTTAAATTTGTTTTCTCAGATTTGAACTTTTTCTCATAATATAACCTTTTTCTCAGATTTTGACATTTTTCTCAGAATTTTCCACAGTTTTTGACTTTTTATCTCAGAATTTAGATTTTTTTCATCAGAATTTCGAAAATGGAGAAATCCCATAGAACCAGGGGAGATGCTGCCTTCAGGGTCCCACACAGAAACACACCACCTCTTCATTAATCTACTGTGAGTCTCAGCGTGTCCTCACCCAGCGCCGGGTCTACTTTAGCTCGGCACTTGGTGACCTCGTGCTCCGTGGAGCCGCAGCGGTAACAGATGCCTCGACCCATCTCCTCGTCTTGCTCCGCCTCCGGACAATCGGCCAATCCGTGACCAGGTTTCCTGCAGTTAAAGCACAGCTGCAGGAGGGAGGAAGCAATGAGTAAAATATCAGAGCCTTAAACCAGGAGTACATCAGAGAAGCACTCATTTATTAAAGGAGAGGTGTCATGTTTTTCCGGTTATTACCCGTCCCCTTGTGTTATGAAGGTTTGTATGCATGTACACGGTCTGCAGAGTCAAAACCCTCAAAGTACACCCTGTAGCGAGTAAAACTCTAACACAGAAAATACCTCCCCAAAACGCCTCGTTGGAGATACGTCATTGTCCATTTGATTCTTCCATTTCGTTCCGGGTACGGCATGACATCATGCCGTACCCGGAACGAAATGGACCAATCCGTGGAGCCGTTGCGTTACGTCCGTGGAGCCGTTACGTTAAGCCCCCGCTGATTGGTCCAAATTGACCAATCCATGGACTTCCTCACACACACATCTGTGTGCAGGGAGCAGGCAGCTCAGCTGATTTCTCCTCCCTGGCTGCAGGCTGATAACAGACAGTTGGGATCGCGGCGAAATTCTCTCTGCAGACCCATTCTCTCTGCAGACCCATTCTCTCTGCAGACCCATTCTCTCTGCAGACCCATTCTCTCCGCAGACCCATTCTCTCCGCAGACCCATTCTCTCCGCAGACCCATTCTCTCCGCAGACCCATTCTCTCCGCAGACCCATTCTCTCTGAGGACCCATTCTCTCTGCAGACCCATCCTCTCTGCAGACCCATTCTCTCTGCAGACCCATCCTCTCTGCAGACCCATCCTCTCTGCAGACCCATTCTCACAGCCTTTATCAACCTTTTTCTTACTCAATATCAAGCCACACTTATTGTTTTTACTTCGGCTGTGACTTTGTGTGTGCTCAGGATGAGTTTGGCTGTGTTTCGCTATGTATCCTAAACAAGGAAACAACACCTCCAGGGAGCTCAGCGCGATTCACAACGTCCCGACCAATCAGAGCACACTGTGCTCACAGGTGCGGCTTTCACACCAGCGCTTTTCCCTTTCTAGCTCCTAGCTAGAGCTTTTCTGGTTCAGCTCCGGTTTCCCTTTTCAGCTCCCGCTCTGTTCACACCGCCCAGAGCTGCCGCTGCTGCGTCATGACGTCACAGTTTACATCGCTGATTTTCTCCCCAACGGAGCTCACCTCACAACAACAACGGGCCGGGGACTGCGTCGGGTCGATGATCGTGTTGCTTTTAATCATACGAAGCCAGATTAAATTAAATAACGACTTCTCCAACCTTATACTTTTCTCCAGAGTGCCGTGGTTCATTGTTTATTAATGTGTTTCATTTACCGACCGCTGCAGTGCTGGCTGCTCTTCAACGGGAGTGTATTCTCCCGTTAGCTCCGGGTTAGCTCACACGGCTCTAAAGTATTCACTGTCTGACTGTCACACAAGCAGCTGATACATATCCCCAGTTCCCCTTAAGTGAATGTGTGTCAGTCTGAATTGACGCTGTTTGGCATCACAACGCTGTTATGAAAGTTTCTCTGGTATAACATGGGTGATGTTAGCATAGCAACCGAAGCTAAACTGACTACTTGCTAAGCAGTTTTCTACAGGCACTTTTTACCGGCGTATTTTTCATTATGATTCTACTTGTGATAGTCGGACATGACAACCTGTGCAGCCCATGTATTGATTCCATCCGATAGCTGCTATAATAACAAAGAAAACGTCTGCCTGCTCTCCACAATGATCAATAACAGCGAACGGATGGTCAAAGTAAGGTTTCCTGCACGCCTCGACGTAAGAGACGCCGCGTCATAGCTCCAAAGCTCTTGCCTCTGGACTGACAATTTTTTGGAGCTGGAAGTGAACCGCATTCCGGAGCTAAGACGCGCCACCGCTGCGGTGTGAACAGGAAAAACCGGCGCTTTTCCAGCTCCGAGCAGGAGCTGGAAAAGCGCCGGTGTGAAAGGGGCAAGGGAGGGTGGGGGCTGGAGCTATTGGAGCTACAACGAGCCGTTAAAGGCAGAGAGTGAAATTCAGTGAATACACGTAGTTTACAGAGATGCTGTTTGAGAAACCAATGTGAGTTTGGAGAGATGCTGTTTGAGAAACCAATGTGAGTTTGGAGAGATGCTGTATGAGAAACCAATGTGAGTTTGGAGAGATGCTGTATGAGAAACCAATGTGAGTTTGGAGAGATGCTGTTTGAGAAACCAATGTGAGTTTGGAGAGATGCTGTTTGAGAAACCAATGTGAGTTTGGAGAGATGCTGTATGAGAAACCAATGTGAGTTTGGAGAGATGCTGTTTGAGAAACCAATGTGAGTTTGGAGAGATGCTGTTTGAGAAACCAATGTGAGTTTGGAGAGATGCTGTTTGAGAAACCAATGTGAGTTTGGAGAGATGCTGTATGAGAAACCAATGTGAGTTTGGAGAGATGCTGTTTGAGAAACCAATGTGAGTTTGGAAAATTGCACAATATAAATCTATTCTAGTAGACCTCAACAATGGAATTATGATCAGTGGAAATGGCCATGACACCTCTCCTTTAAGCCACAACAATACAATGCTTTTCAGATTTGGACTTTTTTTTCTCAGAATTTGACAATTTTTCCCCAGAGTTTCCCCAAAAAGCAGCTTCAAAGACACGAGTAGAATCCCAACGTCTGAGATAAAGTGAGGATTTTCTCACCATGGTGCTCCTCTTGTCGTCCTGCCTCTTCACCCTCCGGTCCTCTCTCCTTCTGTCTTTATTCAGCGCCGTCGCCACCTCCTCTCTGATCTCCTGCATCTCATCTCTCCCTCCCATTCTCCCCCCTCTCTCTCCCATCCTGCCCCCTCTCTCCCCCATCCTCCCCCCTCTCTCCCCCAGTCCCCCTCCTCTCCCCATCCCAGGAAGAGGCTGTCCGCTCTGCTGCAGATACTCCAGGAAGCCGTTCACATCTTCGCTTTCGTACTCTTTCTTCGGACGATTCGGCTTCTTCACGGCCGATCCTAAAGGCAGGATGGTGCCATATTTAATGCTGCCTGGGAGACCCTCTTTCCATCCTCCTCCTGACTAGAATGAACTACAGGCTCACTCCTACGGAGTCGTACGAGCTCGCCTACGTCTCTCCTCTTCCTCCTCCTCCTCCTCCTTCTCTTCCTCCTCCTTCTCCTCCTCTTCCTCTTCCTCCTCTTCCTCCTCCTCCTTCCCTCAGCTGACTCCAGGGAGTCGCTTCTGATGGTTTGTGTTTGTGGACGTTATTCGCTCTCGCCCACCTCGTCATGACTGCAGCTTCTGTCTGAAGAGAAAAAGGTAGATTTTAGATGGAAAAATGGACATAATAATGTTCATAAACTAAAAGGAATCGTTGACAAAAAAGGCCATGTCACAATTACTCAGGCAAACATAATTGTCATCCACAAAATTACCCGGAAAAAAACATCAACATTAAATATTTAAAACGGCACGGAAACACAGAGATAAGAAGATATGAGATAAGTTCAAGGTTCAAGGTTCAAGGTTCTTTATTGTCAATCTGACATAGCTACAGAGTAATTATGTAGTTGAAAATCTTATGTCACTTATGTTCAAAAGTCTAATTAAGATTGAGCAATAAAACCACACGTGTCACTAGGACAATCACACGTTAAAAGCTAGTCTAAAAAGGTGACTGACATTTTAACGGAGAAAGTCAAGTAAAAGTGGTTCAAAACTGACTCAAACAAGACTTTTGGTGGAGAAGCGGGTCTCAAGAGAAAACACAACACGCACTACAAATAATGTAAAGCAAAGAAGAGAACAACAAGTCAACTAAATACTAGGGATGGGTAACGTGGAGAAAATAAATATTGGAAGAAGAAGAAGAATGGGAGGGATGAACCCCTCTGTAATGGTCTCACATGCAGAGCACACAGTGACATGTGTCCTCTGCATTTAACCCATCCTAGCACCAGGAGTCTAGCACCAGGAGCAGTGGGCAGCTATTGTACAGCGTCCAGGGAGCAATGGGAGTGGGGGGAAGGGGGATGTCCGGTGCCTTGCTCAAGGGCACCACGGCAGGGCAGGAGGTGAACTGGGACCTCTCCAAGTAGCAGTCCACACTCCATATTTAGGTCTGTTCAGGGACTTGAACCGGCGACCCTACAGCTCACAGTCCAAGCCCCTACCGACTGAGCCAGTGCCGGTGGCTAAACTAAATACTAGGGATGGGTAACATGGAGAAAATAAATATGATGACCTTTCTGATCAAATACCTCAATATAGATATTGAGGAACATATTGTAGGGTTCAGGTTTGGTGCGTAATATTATGATCAGTTTAAACCAGCCTCCAGCAGGAACTCAGTTATATCAATCCAGAAACATCCGATACAATATCAAATATTTTGCTGCACAATCAATGTGGTTTTGATTGCTGGGCTTTTACTTGGAGTGGAGGATTTTCACAATGTGGTTTTAGTACATTTTGTCCGGCAGTGGCTCAGTCAGTAGGGGCTTGGACTGTGAGCCGTAGGGTCGCCGGTTCAAGTCCCCGAACAGACCTAAATATGGAGTGTGGACTGCTACTTGGAGAGGTCCCAGTTCACCTCCTGGGCCCTGCCGTGGTGCCCTTGAGCAAGGCACCGGACACCCTCTCCCCCACTCCTCCTAGTGCTAGACTCCTGGTGCTAGGATGGGTTAAATGCAGAGAACACATGTCACTGTGTGTGCTCTGCATGTGAGACCATTACAGAGGGGTTCATCCCTCCCATTCTATTCTAGTACCAATACTTTATAGTAAGATTCAGTAGCTTGAAGCACAAAATAAGAAACACTAAATTCAGGAATAATACACACCTTCTAGACAAGGCACACTTTCTAGTTTTTATCTTATATGTTTGTTTGTATAGTTTCTTAATATTTAACTGTGCAAATGCCTGTCAAACTGTATATATGACAATACAAATAATACATAAAAAATACCTTGAAACGTGTCAAACCTTCCTGAACATGTCTGCAGTTTTTAGATTTAATTGCAATTTGAACCGAGTAGTAAATAAAAATATCTACGACAAATAACTTTGTTGTTTTTCTAATGAAACGTCTGTTAGCATGTTAGCAAAAACATAGCATTATCTTAGTTTTTAACGAATAACAGCACTTTCTGAGCTATTGAGTTAACCCAACATGTAAAGATAGTTTAACGTAACGTTTTACAACGGCACGAATCGTTTACATAATGTAAATAAAGGCTAAAAACAACATTACCTTCAGAGGTTTTCAGCCCATGTGTTTTCTTTTTTAACCCGGAAGTGACTGTCTCTACTTCTTCTTCTTCTACGTTGATAATTGAGGTATCGCAAACGACCGAAACACTGCACCACGCCACCTGCTGGACCGGAGGCAGATGACAAAATGGTGAAAAATATAATATATCACCAAAGTGGTGACGTTCTGATCCGAACATACACACACTCTACGTCTGATCCGAACACACACTCTCTACGTCTGATCCGAACATACACTCTCTACTTCTGAAATATTTTTGCAAAGAAATGTCAGTCTATCAAATGACTTTTAAGTTCAATTCAATCAATCAGTCAAAGTTTATTCATAAAGCCCAATATCATTAATTCGGCAAATCTCTCAGGGGGTTTTACAGTGTGTACAGAATACGACACACACTGTTATCATATTTAAAAAATGGTAGAGTAAAATATATAATTTACAGTTATTGCTAAATCAATACATTGCAAGGCGTTTCTTTGATTCCATTTAGACAATTGAAGTTGCTCAAATCAATATTTTAATTTCAACCATAACAAACGTAGGCCTATCTACTCAAAGTATTGTATGCTAAACATACTTGTATCGTTTTTTTTATACAAGCAACCCTTTAATGACATATCTGCTAATTCTATTAATTGTATGTATTGCTGGGTATTTTAATTGATCTTATTCTATCAACTTGAATACATCTGAATAAATAGAGAGGAGTAAAAACTCTGATAGCAGGAGGTTCAGATCCACATGGAGATCTCAGCTGATTTCAATTAACGTGCTAACGAGGCAGAGTTAGTATCAGATGTGTGTGTGAGAGAGTGTGTGTGTGTGACACCTCTGACAACATGCTGCATCTCATCCTCGCTGCACTGCTTTTCGTCCAGTCCTCTAAAGATGGTAGGAAATTGAAATATTGAAATGCACTTTAAAGCAAAACATGAATTGACTACTTTATTTCTTGTTGTTTTAGTCGCCTCCAGTCCTTTACGTGAGGCTAACAATGGTACGTTTGTATTCAAATTAAGTCTAGCTGCATCAATAAGTCACACTTTTCCAGATGTGTGCTTTTTAATTTAATTTGAATGCATTTAAATGTGTTTTTACAGTGACTCAGGAGGACTTGAAAACCAAAGTGCTGCATTACATGGAGTCTAACCCCGAGACTTTAGAAGGTCAGTGTTTTGTCTGCATTTAATATTCACTGCTTTAACAAACAAGGGAAGTCTGTCTTAACTTTTTATTTTTCTAAATGTTGACAGAGCTGATGACCAATGACTATGCCGTGGTGGAGGGAGACATGGTGTTGTTGGTGAGAGAAACATGTCAATTCAACTTACTATTGCTAAAGTTTTAACTTGTAACTCTTAGGTTTTATTGCTCAAAGCTGAAGGATGTGTTCGTGACATATTTAAAAAGAAATAGTCAAAATTAAAGCAGCAATAGACAACATGTCCTGACTTTGAGCTCCGAACACCTTTGAAACTACATTACCCATCATGCAACTCCATGATTTTTGTCCATATGTTAAACAATTGGTGTTTTTCTATCAACAAAAAGTGAAATGATGCCTACATGCATCAACAGATATGAAAGGCAGCAAAACCACTATATAGATTATTTTTAAAATTTACATAAAATAATACTCAGAACGACCTCAAAAGAACCAAAACGGCTTGAAAGTTACGCAAAGAGACTCGCAACTATGGAAAACAACCAGTATGAGATAAAAGATGACCAAATAAAGACTAAAAGGAGACACAAAACCACGACAAGAGAACTATAATTTACTACAAGTAGACGTCAAATGACTACAAAGACACTCAAAATGACTACAAATAGACACCAAATGGATACAAAATGAATACAAAGACTCAAAATGACTACAAATGGATACAGAATGACTACAAATGGACTCGAAATCAAAATGGATACAGAATGACTACAAATGGACTCAAAATCAAAATGGATACAGAATGACTACAAATGGACTCAAATGACTACAAAGACTCAAAATGACTACAAATTGGTACAAAATGACGTGTGTCTCGATGATATGCTTACAAGACAGAAGCTCAAATTGTAGATGTATGGTAAGTGTGTGTGTGTGTGTCTTTGTTCCACCTGATAAAGTGTGTGTTATTTGACCTTCAGAACGACAGGAACGCAGTGGAGAGCGTTTGGCCGAGCGGAGAGATCCCGTTCACCATCAGCCCGGAGTTAGGTGGGTTCAGATCAGTTCTACTTTCAGAATATTTATAACATTTTATTTCACTGTTGTGTTTCTGCAGAAAGTCAAAAGAAGGTCATCCTCTCTGCGATGGCGATGGTGTCCGAACACACGTGTGTGTCGTTCCACAGACGAACCTCCGAGAGAAACTACCTGACCTTCTTGAAAAGCAAAGGGTGAGGAGCGCATTATTATTATTATTATTATTATTATTATTATTATTATTATTATTATTATTATTTTATACTGCATAATGGATTTAGTGCTGCCGCTGTTACATTCTTTCATTATTTATGTTTTCTCTTAGTTCACAAGCAATCTGAGTTGGAAGAAGTACTCAGATCTAGTAGAATTGTTAATACTTTTACTCAAGTACAAGATCTGAGTACTTCTACTTTTACTCAAGTACAAGATCTGAGTACTTTTACTCAAGTACAAGATCTGAGTACTTCTACTTTTACTCAAGTACAAGATCTGAGTACTTCTACTTTTACTCAAGAACAAGATCTGAGTACTTCTACTTTTACTCTTACTCAAGTACTAGATCTGAATACTTCTACTTTTACTCAAGTACTTCTACCACCTTTGTTTGTAAATAAACTTGCCTTAAGGTTTTGAATGCATGTTGTGTAGTTCTAGTAGTAACTGAAGTAGTTGTACTGCAGTAATTGAATACTTCTTGTAGTTGTGCTTCGTACGTGGGCTTAATCGGCGGAGTGCAGCCGGTGTACGTGGGGATGCAGTGCATGGTGGGAAACATTGTGCATGAGATCCTGCACGCTCTGGGTTTCCATCACGAACACACGAGGAGCGACCGCGACCAATACATCACCGTCCTGCAGGACAACATCATTGAAGGTAACCCTGTGTACTAATATACAAATATACAAATACTCTGCACTTGTTACAGTCTGTGTCTGTATTTATTATAATTGATTTCAGCATGACTTGGCAGAATATTTAGCTCACCTTAGCTTTGTGTTTTTATATATTTCTTAATTACATTTAACTCGCATAACCTCTTGCTTTAAATGTATATATTATTTATTGAACTCTCCATAACTCAGGTATTTATTTATATTTATCGAACCCACTTTAATTATAGACTTATTTGTAATTCATTTAACTCTCCTTAATTAATTATTTATTCATTTATAAAAAGGAAATGCATTTAAATTACCTTTTTTCTTTTCACTATAACTCTGAAATGTGTGTAATTATTTTTACTTTTATTTGCATAATAACGTATAAAACATGTCTTATTTCTGTGATGAAGTGGCGTTATTGTGTTTCAGGGAAGGAGAGAAACTTCAAAAAGCAAAACGGAGAAACGTTCGGCCTGGGGTACGACGCTGCGTCCATCATGCACTACGGACGGTAACCTTTAGATATTCAGATCAATATCCTACATTATATTAAATAACATAAAACAACAGAACATTAACAGGCAATTACAAATATATTTTAAAAGTAAGCATTAGACAAAATAAATAAGTAACATTAATTTGTAATCTTTCCAGTGACTACTAAGTTATTATTAATAAAACAATTATTTAGGTGCATTTTCCTGATTTTAAATGCAGTTTACCCAAGTCCCATTCTCAGTGGGAAGCGAGTTGTAGTGTAGTTTCTGTACGGTTGTAGTGTATGTACTTTTACTGTAGTAACGAGTACTTCCAGTGTAGTGTCGTGTACTTTTACTGTAGTAACGAGTACTTCCTGTGTGTACAGTGGGTTTTTCTCAAATAACGGCCTGCCCACCATCGTCTCTAAAGAGGAAGTGATGAACATGGGTCAAAGACAGAAGATGACGGACAGCGACGTGCAGAAAGTCCGACTCCTCTACATCTGCGGTACTCTTTAAAAAAAAGTTTATAGAGTGGTTCAGAAATGAGTCCTAAAACCCTGACATGACTCAGCATTTTAGCACTTCCTGTCCCCTGTTCTGAATGTCAATGGTTATAAACTTAGGTAAAATAATTTGCAGTTTTACGACTCTAATCTAAGTAGCCTCACACGGGGCAGCAACTTTTCTGTGGACGTGCTGCAGTTCCTTTATAGCCCAACATTAGCCACCTTTAGCTTAGCGGTGGTGAAGTCATGTGACCGTGCTGTAGTTCCTTTATAGCCCAACATTAGCCACCTTTAGCTTAGCGGTGGTGAAGTCATGTGACCGTGCTGTAGTTCCTTTATAGCCCAACATTAGCCACCTTTAGCTTAGCGGTGGTGACGTGAAGTCTTGTGACCGTGCTGTAGTTCCTTTATAGCCCAACATTAGCCACCTTTAGCTTAGCGGTGGTGACGTGAAGTCTTGTGACCGTGCTGTAGTTCCTTTATAGCCCAACATTAGCCGCCTTTAGTTTAGCGGTGAAGTCATGTGACCGTGCTGTAGTTCCTTTATAGCCCAACATTAGCCACCTTTAGCTTAGCGGTGGTGAAGTCATGTGACCGTGCTGTAGTTCCTTTATAGCCCAACATTAGCCACCTTTAGCTTAGCGGTGGTGAAGTCATGTGACCCTGCTGTAGTTCCTTTTATAGCCCAACATTAGCCACCTTTAGCTTAGCGGTGGTGACGTGAAGTCATGTGACCGTGCTGTAGTTCCTTTATAGCCCAACATTAGCCATCTTTAGCTTAGCGGTGGTGAAGTCATGTGACCGTGCTGTCGTTCCTTTTATAGCCCAACATTAGCCACCTTTAGCTTAGCGGTGGTGACGTGAAGTCATGTGACCGTGCTGTAGTTCCTTTTATAGCCCAACATTAGCCACCTTTAGCTTAGCGGTGGTGACTTGAAGTCATGTGACCGTGCTGTAGTTCCTTTGTAGCCCAACATTAGCCGCCTTTAGCTTAGCGGTGGTGAAGTCATGTGACCGTGCTGTATTTCCTTTATAGCCCAACA